ACATTTTTCTTAATGGTTTGGTAGGCTTTATCGCTATAAACTGCTTCTGCAGGGCACCTGGGTGGCTCAGTCACTTAAGCATCCAACTCTTGATATCAGCTCAGGTCATGATCTCTCAGTTTGTGACTTTGAGCCCTGCATTGGGCTCTGCATTGACAGTGTGGAGCCTTCTTGAGATTCTGTTTCTGTCTCTCTCTATCTCTGCCTCTCTCTCTCTTCTCCCCCCTCACTCTCCCTCTCTCTCACACTCTCTCTCTCCCTCTCAATAAATAAATAAACTTAAAAAAAAATATTTTTGCTGTGCATCTTCTATTTTGGAACATTATATTTTAATTTTCATTTGACTCAATTCTTTTGTTTGAATTCCTCTTTCATTTCTCCATTGACGTCTTGGTTGTTTATTGGCATGTTGTTTAGCATCCACATGTTTGTGTTTTTTCCAGTATTTTTTTTCTTGTAATTGATCTAGTTTCATACTGTTGTGGTTGGAAAAGATGCTTGATGTAATTTCAGTTTTAAATTTATTGAGACTTGTTTTGTGGCCTAACTTGTGATCTCTCCTGGAGAATACAGTGTTTCATGTGCATCTCCAAAGAATGTGTATTCTTTTTTAATTTTTTGTTTTTTGTTTTTGCTGTTCAGTTTGGATGATTTCCACTACCCTGAAATCCTAGATCACTGATCTGTGCTTCTGCATCATCTCATCTGCTGTTGATTCCCTCTACAGTGTTTTCCATTTTAGTTAATGTATTCTTCAGCTCTGATGCATTCTTTTTTATATTTCTTATCTCTGCTGAAGTTCTCACTGAGTTTATCTACTCTTCTCAAGTCTGGAGAGCATCCTTATGACAATTACTTTGAACTCTTCATAAGGTAGATCGCTTATTTCCATTTCATTTAGGTTTTTTTTTTTTTTTGAGGTTTTGTCTTGTTCTTTCATTTGCAACATGTTCCTCTGTCTCCTCCTTTCCCTGTCTATTTTTGTTTGTATATATTAGGTAGATCAGCTGTGTCTCTGGGTCTTGAACATGTAACCTTATATAGAAGGCATCCTGTGAGGCGTAAACCCCACCCCACCCCCTGGTAACTATACCCAGGCACTCCAGGGATTTCCCCTGTGTGGGCTGCATGTGCCCTCCTTTGTGGCTGGATCACAAATTATGTGGGCACACTGGTACCACTTTTGTGGGGTTCCAGTCCCGGCTGAGGCGACTCAGTGTGGTGGGACAGTAGCCACTTTTGGGGGGACAGGCACCAGTCTCAGTTGAGGCTCTCTGCTGAGTGCAACAGGAGGGGAACCACTTTGGAAGGGTATCCCCCAGGAAGGGAAGGTTGGGCTGGACAGGTCCACAGGTTGACATCTGGTCAGGGTAAGCAGTGCCAGAAAGGTAAATGGATAGTGTCAGAACTGGTGCCCGCCAGCATCAGCCCAGCGAGGCAGAAGGAAGGCAAGAAAAATGGTGCCATTCAGTGCTTCCTTCCTGGAGAAAGTTCCTACAGAGCCCTGACCCTACTGCACAAGCCCTAAAATTAGTCAGTGAATCTCCTTCAGTTATGGCTTAGGTGCTGTTTAGACTATTGCTTCTGTTCTGGTCTCAGCCAAGTGTTTATATGCAGGCCTTTTAAGAGTGGAATCTTGGCATCCCACAGCCGGCCAGCTCTCCTGGAGTTAAGCTTCACTGGTTTTCAAGGCTTCTGGACATAAGGCATGCTGATTTCCAAAGCCAGATGTTATAGAGGCTTTTCTTCCTGGTACAGATCCCAAGGGCAGTGGGTACCTGATGTGGGGCTCAAACCCTTCACTTCTCAGGGAGGATCTCTATACCTGTGATATCCCTCCTGCTTGTGGGTTATCAAGCTGGGCGTGTGGACCCTGACCAAATCACATCTCTGCTTTCTTGATGTGACTTTTTCTTTACATCTTTAGCTGTGGAAGAGCTGTTCTGCTAGTCCCCAGATTGTTCTCAGTAAGAGTTACTCTATATGTACTTGCAGTTTTGGTGTGTGGCCATTGTTTGACCTGAGCTCAGAATCCTCCTACTCTGCCATTTTCAGCAATTCCCACCCACTTTTTTAAATTGAGGTATAATTGACATATAACATTATATTAGCTTTAGGTGTACAATGTGAGGATTTAATATATGTATATATTTAAAACAATCACAAAAAAATCTAACATCCATCACTATACATGGTTACATTTTTTTTGTGAGAACTCTTTAAGATCTATTCTCTCAACAACTTTCAAATATGTAATACAGTATTAATAATAGTCACCATGCTGTACGTTACATTCCCCAGACTTATTTTATAACTAGAAATTTGTACCTTTTGACCCTTTTCACTCATTCTGTCAACACCCCCAACTCTTGCCTCTGACAACCACCAATTTGTTCTCTGTATCTATGAGCTTGGTTTTTTTGTTTGTTAAAGATTCCACATAATAGTTAGATCATGGCATTTGTCTTTCTCTGTCTGACTTATTTCACTTAGCATAATTACCTCAAAACTCATCCATGTAGTTGTAAGTGGCAAGATTTCTTTCATTTTTATGGCTGAATAATATTCCATCGTATATGTATACCATATCCTCTTTGTCCATTCATCTGTCTGTGGACCCTTAGGTTGCTTCCATTGGAAATAATGCTGCGCTGAGCAGAGGAGTGCGTATATCTTTTCGACTTAGTGTTTTCTTTTCTTTGGGTAAATAGAGGTCGAATTGCTGGATAATATGTTAGTTCTCTTTTTAAATTTTCGAGGAGCCTCCATTCTGTTTTCCATAGTGGCTGTACCAATTTACATTCCTACCAATAGTGCATTTTTCTCCACATCCTCACCAACACTTGCTATTTTTTGTCTTCTTGATAATAACCATTCTGACAGGTGTAGAGTGGTATCTCATTTATGGTTTTGATTTGTATTTCCCTGATGGCTAGTGATGTTGAGCATCTTTTCATCCGGCTCTTGGCCATCTGTATATCTTCTTTGGAAAAATGTCTACTCGTATCCTCTGCCTATATTTAAAATGGGTTGTTTGTTTGAACTTACATTGTGAAATATCTATGTATATATCCAAGGAAAAGTGGGTTGTTACAGCAATAATAACAGGAATATAGCTCACTTCTTCACAAATGGTTCTAAACCAGATGGGCTCCTGTTTGTATCAGTATAGTGTTATCAGGATTCAAATACATTTTAACATTTAATTTCTTAAAAAATAAAAGATTTGAAAAAGTTTTTTTTGTTTAAGGTGCTATGTCAGGTTTTTTAAAAAGAATCTCTTTTGGTCTCCTGCATCTTTTCCAGTGTTTCTCATGCAAATATTGTTCCATTAATTTATATTTTTCCTTAGCTATGGGCTTCTGTTGACAATTGTGTAGGCAGTTTTGGGTAATGAAGTTAGCCCAGTGGTCCTTTAAAATTCTCCATAAATGTTATTACTATAAATATGCAAGTGAGAATAGTTAAGTCTTTTGTAGATTTTTTTAAGAATGATAGTTTCTTTAGAGAGATGGTTTCTTCGAATCATCTTTATGTTATTGTCTAAATTCTGGCAGCAATTTTTGAGCTCCTAACTCTTTAAAACGTACAGTTTTATATCATGTGTCCTAATAGAGGAAATGCACAAAACATTGAGAAATATAATAGAAGGTATAAAAAATGGAGAGTTACATCTTGGAAGACAGACTAACCATTATAACAATGCTAGTATTTCCAGATTCCATGTCTATACTCAAGTGACTCCAGTTGTCAAAAGGGTGGAAGTTGAGGGTGAGATAGTCCTCACAGCAGGTAGCAGCTCTTTCAGAAAACTTAGCTTAGGGGAAGAGACAGGGTGGCAGCTGGAGGGAGCCAAGAGAGTCAAGTATTCTTTGTTGTTTGAAAGATAAAATCTAGAGCATGTCCTGAGTGCTGATGCTTGTTGGAGCACTAGAAGGAGGGACTGAGGAGGGATATTTTGATTCAGGGGGAAGGAGGAGGCATGGGGGGTGGTGTTGGTAGGTGGCACAGTTTCTGAGACACTCTGGAGGGGTGGAGGGATTGGCTTTGGAAAGAAAAGGAAATGAGGGCTTGTATTTTTTCTGTGAAGTATGAGGCTGTTGAGAATAAGGGGGGGGGGGAATTTGAGAAGAATAGAGAAAGCTTGAAAATAGGCATTTGAAGAGATAAAGAGTGGCACCTGGCTGTCTCGGTTGGGCGTCCGACTTTGGGTCAGGTCACCATCCCCACATCGGGCTTGCTGCTGTCATTGCAGAGCCAGCTTCGGGTCCTCTACCCACCTCAATTTCCCCTTCCCCCACTTGCGTGCATGCTCTCTCGCTCTCTCTCTCTCTCGCTCTCGCTCTCTCTCTCAAAAATAAATAAGTATTAAAAACAGATAAAGAACTGTTTCACTAGAAAAACATAGTAAGATTGCTGTATAATTGTTGACTGTGAACTTAGTGTTAGAATAGAATTCTATTTAGTTTTGTGACCACCCGCCCCTTCCAGCTACTCAGATTTCTTGCTACAAGTGTGGGGTAGACAAGTGGTTGAGTTCAAAGTTTTGATCTTGAGGTCATCGATCCTTCCTCCTAGCTCTGTACCTTGAAGAACAAACACAACCTCTAGTGAACAAGGTGCAGCTACCACAGTTGACTTTGATTGGGCATCCTCATACAGTTAGTGATGTGGTAGAGGGATGTCTAGGTGGAGTTGGTGCAAGGTTTTCTACTGATTCTAATTACTTTGGTGTCTTTCAAAAAATTGATTTGAAAATGCTTATCTTCCAGTTATTTGGTTGTAGAAAAATGAAACAAAGCCCATTTTTTTCCTTAGAATGGAAAAAAGATATAAGAATTAAAGTTCACAGCTGGTAAAATTAAGGATGTACGTTTTAGATAGACAAAATGTAGGAATTTGTACTCTCTGTGTTTTATATTCAAAACCCATATTTGGAAGCACAATGCAATTATGCTAGTCTATATTTCCTACTAATATCTCTTCTTTTTTCATTTTAGGAAATAGTCTAGTAAGTTTAACCTTTCATTTATTTAGTCTTCATGGATTAATTGAGTACTTCCATTTAGATATGATGAAACTTCGTAGATTTTTAGGTAAGTGATTCTAACCCGTTTAACAGAAATAACATTTGAACAAGAATCTGTTTTAAGTTTTCATCAGTTTTTTCAGTTAGCTATTGCTCTAAAACAGACTACCCTAAATTTTTGTGGCTTGGAATGACACACACTTACTCAGCTCCTGAGTCTGTGGGGCTGTTGAATGCTGCTTGTAGTCTAGCTGAGTTCATTTATGTACCTGCAGTTGACAACAGGCAAGCTACTCTGTGGGCCTGGACTGGGGCCTCAGCTGGGACACTGGGCTTCATGTGGCTCAGCTCTACATGGTCCCCCATTAAATTCAAAGGAGTCAGAGGAGTTTGGCCCCTTAATAAATTCATATTAAAAACAAAAAAAGAAGGAAATATATTTTATGACAAGCTTCTTCAAAGAGTGATGGGCAGTCTCCAAGGGAGCTGGCATACCCGGGCCCCTGAAACTGGCTCTCCAGGTCTGGCTCTCCATCACTTCCACCCCATGCTGTTGGCCAAAGCAAGTCTGATAGGGGGTGGATGACACCTCTCGTCCAGGAAGCTTTGAAGGTTCAAAGCCATGAATGGAGGGCATGGTGAAGAAGTGGGACACTTTTGCAGTCAATCTCTTAGGTTGACCACAGCTTTGTCACAAAGATGACACAATTTCTGTCCTTTTTCCAAACTATGAAAGCTCAAACTTGAAAAGATTAGGTGCATTGCACTTAGGTGTTCTCTTTTTCTGATCCCAGAAATCTCTTTACGTTAAACTTAAAGATTATTTTTAATATGTTTAAATGTGCACGGTGATATTTGTGTAAGACTGTTTTGCTAGGGAAAAAGCTGACCTTTTTTGCCAAATAAATATGTTAGAAGAAAATTAGCATGAGGATTATTTACTTTTTTAAAAAAAGAAGGTAATATTTTCTTTCCTCTTAAATACTGAACTAAGATAAATTTATTACCTAGGACTTTTGAGAGACTTTTCCTGCATATTTATTTCTAATTTGTATACCTGCAATACTCCACTAACAAATTGTGTAAATTATAAAACATATATAAAAATAGATATTAACAAGAGTAATTAAAAGGCTATTTGAAAGGATGGGTTAAAGTAAATACATAATTCTAATGCTCTTTCCTTCTCACCAGTGAGTCATGGTTCACCACTGTGGAATTGGCTCACTTTACTAGTGACCAGTAGATTACAGTGTTATGCCCTTGGGGCCATCCTGCAGGCTTGATGGCAACAGGGATAACTCTGCCCCTAATCCTAGTCTCCTTTTTCATGAAAGCCTAACAGACATGGAGTAGAGACAGTAGGATTAAGAGAAGGTCCATCCCTACCACTGAAAAACTAATTCCAGTTCTGAAACGAATACCTCACTGATGATGTGCCCATGGGATCATCTTCATATGCCCTAATAACTATAATATTTTAGCTTCATAAAGTTTTTTGTTTACTGATAAATTTCTAGAGTCTAAAACAGTACTTGGGACAAGTGTTTGTTGAATGAATTGCAATGCTTTTAATGAAACCGAGAAACTCTTCTTAAATTACATTTGAAAGAGAGGAGTTTGGTACAATGATAGGTTCACATTTTAAAAGAGAAAAAGAGAGGCACCTGGGTGGCTCAGTCAGTCAAGCATCCGACTGCCGGCTCAGGTCATGATCTGATGGCTCGTGAGTTCAAGCGCCATATCAGGCTCTGTGCTCACAGCTCAGAGCCTGGAGCCTGTTTCAGATTCTGTGTGTCTCCCTCTCTCTCTCTCTGCCCCTCCCCCGCTAGCACTCTGTCTCTCCCTCTCTCAAAAATAAGTAACACTTAAACAAATGAAAAATAAACAAAATATTTATTGTTTTGACATGAATACCTTCTGATAATTTCAAACAAGTTAGCAGCCACAGTGGTATTGATTCTTTGGACATACATGTGAGTTCTGAGTGATTGTCATCCATCTGAATCTGAACAACTAGCTGGTAGCCACATGAAGATTGTAAGTGGAAAACTCATAATTATCACAATTCTTGTACTTTGCACAGGCCTCCCACGTACAATTAAATTTGAGATCTTTTTTCTTTGATGCAGTTATGATTCAAGAAGATTACCACAGTCAGAACCCTTACCACAATGCGGTCCATGCTGCAGATGTTACTCAGGCCATGCACTGTTACTTAAAAGAACCTAAGGTAAGATGCTGACATTTACAGGGGGTGCGAATCCTAAGAAAATTCCTTGACTTACTTTCAAATACTTTTCCTTAAATGAGTGATTTGACTCAAAATCAGAGGCTTCCTTCACTAAACTGAGATCTGGCTGGATCAAGTTTCCCATCCTGGTTATATTTGTACAGCAGCTGGACAACTGAGTGATTGTTGAGAGAGAAGCTGGAGAAGTCCAGGTGAGGTCTGGATCTGACGAAACCCCCAACTCTGTGTGAAGACACTGGCATTTACACCAAGCTCCTTGTAACCTCCATGAGGGCCGCACAGCATTAGTCCAATTCAGAGAATGAATGGGGAGCTACAGAAGGGAAGCAGGAGACTTTCCCACACCTGTCAGAAGCTGTTTTGTTTTGGTGCACCATGAAAGAGCCTGGTGGCCCAAGCTAGGCAAGGGGCTTTGGGGAAGGAGAGAGGTAGACGGTGTGTAAGATCTCTTGGGAGTTAGAGTGCCTAGCCTATGGTGTCTGCATGCCTTTGGAGGAATGAAGCAGAGAGAAGAGTCAATGAAGACTGCGTGGGGCAGCTGAGTAGAGTGTGGAATTCTGTGAGAGAAAGTACGTAGAAAAGGGAGCGAGTTTTGGGGGTAAGGCTGGTAGAGATGATGACCTCCACTTTGGATATGTAGAGTTAAATGTGTTTGTGTGGTATCCAAATGGAGATGTTGAATAGAGAGTTGGATAAGAGAGTCTGGAGCAGAGAAGAGAATCTGTTGGAGATACAGATGTAGGGATCAACTGTAGATGATAACGGAAAGCCGTGTTTGTCTTTGGATGTTTCCTACCCCTGATGGTCCTGAAATCACATTTGCTTACCCTCAGCCCTGTTTCTAAACTCTTCTCCCCCTGGGATCTGAGTTCCCACTAGATGTTAGAAGGGAAAGCAAGCTGACTAAATCAGATTGTGCTAATTGATGCCAGTTCTGAGAATATAGCCATGTGGTCACCAGTCTTGTCATTTTTCAAGAGATTGTGGAATATGTGAAAATACCCCAGTTTTTAAAGTATATACATCATGGCTTTTTTTAAAAAGCAACTTCATTGTGGTATCACTTGTATGCCACAATAAAATATATACATTTTATGGGTACATTTTTGACAAATGTATACTCCTGAGTGCCCGAATTTTCTAATTGAGCTTTTAGAAAAAACTCTGGGCCAAGGCTGAAGCCTCTGTTGAGAGTTTTTGGGAGAAACTGATAATCACCATACAGCCAGGTAAATGGAATGATGAAGGTAAGTGTCATGTTCTGTGAGACACAGAGGAGGTTAATTAAGCTGGTGCACAGGTCTGTGAAGGTGGCTCCCCTCCCATCTTCCACTGGCCACACCCAAACAGAAGCCAGGGGCGTGGAAGGTAAGGGCTGATGCCAGGCACTGGGCAAGGCGAGAGTGCGAAGGGTGTGGTAAAAATGAATAAAAATGCTGCCCGACCTGTGCAGCTCTGGCAGCACTGATTTTAAGCTTTTTTTTTTTTTTTTTTTTTTGCCTATGTATCTGATATTTCTTATTTTAAATACTTTTTGCCTTATGCAACTTTGATTACACTTATTTGAAATACTTGGCTCCTAGGTGGCTCAGTCAGTTAAGCATCTGACTCTTGATTTTGGCTCAAGGTCACGAACTTATGGTTTGGTTCTGTGCTGTCACAGAGCCTGCTTGGGATGCTCTCTCTTCCTCTCTCTCTGCCTCTTCCCCGCTTGTGAGTGCGTTCACATGCGCTCGCTCACACTCTCTCTCTCCCTCCTTCCCTCCCTCTCTCCCTCTCCCTCCCTCTTTCTCTCTCAAGTATTTTTTTAAAAAATACTTTTCATGGTTAACATACTTAGTGAACTTAGTCAAAGCTTCAGTGAAGGAGATAAAATCACTAAGCCCTAAAATGCAAAAATTCCTTTCTCCTTTATTGTAGTTTACATTTTAAAATAGACTCATTCAGTTTTAAAAGTACGTTCTAGGGGCGCCTGGGTGGCGCAGTCGGTTAAGCGTCCGACTTCAGCCAGGTCACGATCTCACGGTCCGTGAGTTCGAGCCCCGCGTCAGGCTCTGGGCTGATGGCTCAGAGCCTGGAGCCTGTTTCCGATTCTGTGCCTCCCTCTCTCTCTGCCCCTCCCCCGTTCATGCTCTGTCTCTCTCTGTCCCAAAAATAAATAAACGTTGAAAAAAAAAAAATTTAAAAGTACGTTCTAAAAAAAGGCTTAAGATTGTATCTCTTAGTGCCTGGGCTTTCACAAGGCTTCACACTTTCAAGTGCTTTCATTCAGTACATTTTCCTGGTGCTAGGAATCCAGTGGTAAACAGGACAGGAAAGGTCCCAGTGAGGGATGCAGTCACTAGACAAATAAATAGAATGTTGACATATATTGTAGTAATTACTGCTGTGAAGGAATCTAAATCGAGGAATGTGCTGGAGAGTGACCAGAGGATGGCAAGCATTTAGAGCTGTAGATAAGGTGGTCAGAAACCACGTAAACTGAAAGGAAAAATTTGAGAAGGAGTCACCTATAGAAAAATGCAGGTGCAGAGGGAATCAAATAGAAAGGCTTAAATATAGTATTTAGTGAGAAACCTGCTTTCCGGGCACCTGGGTGGCTCAGTCAGTTAGGCGTCCGACTTTAGCTCAGGTCAAGATCTCATAGTTTGTGAGTTCCAGCCCTGCGTCTGGCTCTGTGCTGACAGCTTGGAGCCTGAAACCTGCTTCGGATTCTGTGTCTCCTTCTCTCTCGGCCCACCCACCCCTACTCACGCTCTGTCTCTCTCTGTCCCTCAAAGAATGAATAAACATTTTAAAAACACAAAAGAGGGGCGCCTGGGTGGCTCAGTCGGTTGAGCGTCCGACTTCGGCTCAGGTCATGATCTCACAGTCCATGAGTTCGAGCCCCACGTCGGGCCCTGGGCTGACAGCTCAGAGCCTGGAGCCTGTTTCCGATTCTGTGTCTCCCTCTCTCTCTGCCCCTCCCCTGTTCATGCTCTGTCTCTCTCTGTCTCAAAAATAAATAAACGTTAAAAAAAAAAAATTAAAAAAAAAATCTGCTTTCAGTTTTTATATATGATTTCTGTGTAAGAGCTAATTCCTGGACTCTTAAGTGCAAAAAGAAATACTCAAAGCCCCCCCAAATTGCTAGAAAGTTAGGGCAAAGTTCCTTCTTTCTGTACTTGACATCAGCCTTAACTTGAGTGTTTACTTTCTGTGTTTTCATAGCTGAGCTTAGATTATAATTTTGTTCCAGTTGAGCCTATTAGCACCTAATAGCAACAATAAAAACAGTGACTTTTTTGTTGAACACAGGAAAACTCAGCATTACTAGTTTTTTATTTGGAAAAGGGCCCTGATGATAGCTTTGCAGACGTCTCCATCAAATGGTTTGCAGTTTCTTCTTCACACAGCTTGTTGTTACTGTCCGGCATTACCAGATACAGTTAAAGGAATGGAAATAACAGTAGCCTTGTTTTGTTTTGTTTTGTTTTTTTAATTTTTTTTTTTACATTTATTTATTTTTGAGAGAAAGAGAGAGCACGAGTGGGGAGAAGCAGAGAGAGGGAGACACAGAATCCGAAGCAACAGTTGCCTTGTTTTTAACCCACTTTAAAAATTGTCTTAATATCGTTGGCTTCTTTGTCTTTATTATAAAGGTAATCATTATTTTTTTTTTACTACTGACAGTTTGTTATTTATCATTGACCGTTTCAGTCAGGTAATTAACTTACCCCTTGTGATTATTTTATTGTATCAGCTAAGATCTGCAATGATTATTGAGAGTAACATTATAATTGCTCGCTTACACGATCACTTTTTCTGAGGTGACTATATTGTGAACGCTGTTCTGACTATATCCATCTGTTGGGAGAGGATTTTCTTAATAGAGTGGATATAGACTGCCCCAGGATTACTCAGCTTCCTTAAACATTAAAGACCTCAGAAATAATGTTACAGTTTGGATTCTAATTTTTTTTTTTAACGTTTATTTATTTTTGAGACAGAGACAGAGCATGAATGGGGGAGGGTCAGAGAGAGGGAGACACAGAATCTGAAACAGGCTCCAGGCTCTGAGCCATCAGCCCAGAGCCCGACGCGGGGCTCGAACTCACGGACCGCGAGATCATGACCTGAGCCAAAGTCGGCCGCTTAACCGACTAAGCCACCCAGGCGCCCCTACAGTTTGGATTCTTAATTGAAGTCTAGTAACCAATTTGTTGATGAATAAGCGCCTTCAGTCATAGGTCTTATGTAATTGTACACTTAAAACTCTGATAATGTGAGTGTAGATCTCACATTAAGTGTTCTTACTGCAATAAAAAAAAGTTGAAAGACCTCATAGGTCTTCTGTTGGTAGCAACTACGGTAATAAACATACAGAAACCTGTGTTTGTTTTAAACCCATTTCTCAAAAAAGATCATTTATACTTTGGCTGTCATTTTGAGTAAGTCTGTCTCAAATGAACACAGTGTAAGAACAAGGTCTGTAAACTCTGTGTGGATGGGAACACACATCATATTCTACCTCTCCCTCGTGTCGTGATGAGGACAGCACCTGGCAGGTGCTTGGTGCCCTTAATGAACAGTCTGAAAAACATTAAGGGGGAGGAGACTCGACACTGCCATTTGAGGCAACTTCAAAACTACTGTAATGGTACAGAGTTTATTTCAGATATGTCTGTAATTAATTCTTTTGTCCCACTTCAGCTTGCCAGTTCTGTAACCCCTTGGGATGTCTTGCTGAGCTTAATTGCAGCTGCCACTCATGATCTGGATCATCCAGGTGTTAACCAACCTTTCCTTATTAAAACTAACCATTACTTGGCAACTTTATACAAGGTCAGTGCAATTTTATCATGAGATTTAATATTCTTGCATTCTGGAAAATGTTTTAATGGAGTCAAAGTAGTAAACAGATTGTCCATGAACATTAGAATTTTAACCAGATTAATATTACCTACAGATAATTCTTTATGTTCAGAAAGAGACTCGCTATTAAATAACTCAGATATGCCCCTTTTTGTAGAATACCTCAGTACTGGAAAATCACCACTGGAGATCTGCAGTGGGATTATTGAGAGAATCTGGCTTATTCTCACATATGCCATCAGAAAGCAGGTAGGTTGGATTAAGACACATTTAATTTGTTATGAACTATGGAAATTAAGTTGGCAAAACAATTTTATAAAGGTTTCAAAATTATTCAGGTGTTACCACAGTTTTCAGTTTTTGTTTAATGGCTGAATTATTTTATCTTAAAAGTTTATATCAAAATTCTAGTAATTTAAACCTGTTCTGCAGTGAAGACAGTAGTATTTTTTTAGTGATTTTTTTTTTTATGGATCATTCCATAGATTTGAGTATTATAAAATTCACTCCAAATACACAGTGCCTCATAGTTTACTATTTATGTAAATAGTGTTACATGTTTCCATTTTATGCTCATTTGAATAAAACCTTATGTTCTAGGTATAAAGAAATTAATTATTCTGTATCATAAATACCCTCATTAAAAGTTTCAGGAAGTTTTCAAAATCTATAAGTAAAAAAAAATGCTTTATACCTCAATAGCATAGCCCTGGAGTCACTTCGGGAGCATAGGATAAAATAATGATGGAAAGAACAGGAAATACCAATTTTTTAAGAAAAGACCATTTAATGTTAAGCAGGCCATTTGAAAGCCTAATAAGCATCAGTGCAAATAAGCCCGATATGATGGTGATTAACAAAATCTCTTCTCACTGATCCACAAACAAAAGCTTTTAATAATGCCTCACTGAGAGAAGATGCTCTTACGAAAACCATGTAAGTGGATATAAACCATCTAATTCTAGAAACAAGGTGAGGCATAAAAATAAGTTTGGGTACTGAAATTTAAGTTACTATTATTGTTCTTTCCTTTTTCCATTTCATAACTTAAAACAACTTTATTTTAAAAACTTAAGTATTTTGTGTAATGACCATAAGAAAAAAGCTGGACTTTATTTTTTATTTTTTAAATCTTTATTCATGGATACCATTTGGAGTTATGACAATACTTCTGGTAAGTAAAATTGTTTCTTGCTGTAGTACAAATAGAAAAATTGCTTAAACCATAGTTTTTGTATACATAAGTTATCTTTTTCTTGATTAAAGCAGATTAAAATGTTTGCTTTCTTCTTTTTGTCATGTTTTACATTTGATGATTAACCCTATCGATAAAAACTGACAATAAGGAACACTACCTAATAGCATTCTTTTATGTTTCCTTTATTTAGGATTTATTTCATTTAATATCCAATATTGTGAGCCTTTTAATCTGTTGACAGCTCTTTACTGATATTTATACAAAGATAATGTTTGCTACAGCCCATTGAGGGGAAAAAAGGAAGGGTTTTTTGGGGTTTTTTTTAAGTTTATTTCTCTTATTATTTGACTTGAGACAGTCTTAATTATTTTTTTACTTGAGACAGTTTTAAAAATGATATATGATGTATTTGCATTAACATGTTACCTTTTCCTTTCCAGAAAAGTTGGATATTCATGTAGATAATTGATTCTAGAATTTGACCTTGAAAATACAGTTATATCTAAACTTTATCAAATTGTTTGGTGGGGTTTCGTCAGCATATAATCATGCATCTTAGTCAAAATATCTACCAGACTTAGTTGTTGAATGGGTTGTTCTTTCTCCGTTTGAGCCAACCTCCTGACTTCCAGGTATCAGACACCCAAGAAAGAAACCAAAGCTGTGTACCCTCAGCACATCCCAGCCAAAAATTTTATAAAATAACGTATCAGGCTCATATGGATTTGTTTTTAGACAACTAATTCCTCCTTGGCTGGCAAAATAAAGGCATTCTTTTGGGAATGTACACATATTTGTACTTTCCTACAAACTCCTTTGGTTTTAGTTTTGATGATTTTGGTAGGTTTTTTTAAATGCATTCTTTAAAATTCATTTGTTGTGATAGGTTAAAAGTTGAATGGCAGAATATTAAGTTTAAGAAAAAAAAATCAAGAAGTAACTATTTAATTGAAAGTCTTGTATTTTCTTTTTATATTTCTCTAATTCCAGGCAACAAATGGAGACTCAGATAGGTGCTTTGATACTAGCTACAGACATCAGTCGCCAAAATGAGTATCTGTCATTGTTTCGGTCCCATTTGGACAGAGGTGATTTACACCTTGAAGATGCCAGGCATAGGCATTTGGTTTTACAGGTAAAGTGGGGTTGGGAAAGATTCTTTCTAGGGTAAATCACATGACTGTTAGAATAAAAATGAAGTAGTCTAGTGTAGCTTTCAGAGTGGTTAAATTTTGAGGGAAAGCTGTGGGATTTCCTTCCATTAGTAAAATATCTTACAGAAGGTGAATCTTCTCCTTAGGAAAGCACCATTGTTTTTGTAGTTTTCATACTCGTGATTTCTAACAAAAACCATTTTTGTGAGATTAGGGTACTGACCAACAAACAGTAATTTATTTTATTTTATTATTTTTTTATGAATTTTTTTTCAAATTTTTACTCAAATTCTACTTAACATACAGTGCAGTATTGGTTTCAGGAGCAGAATTCAGTGACCTACATACAACACCCAGTGTTCATCACAAGTGCCCACCTTAGTACCCATCACCCTTCTAGCCCATCCCCCACCCACCTCCCTCCATCAACCCTCACTTCTCCTTTGTTAAGAGTCTCTTATGGTGGGGCACCTGGGTGGCTCAGTCGGTTAAACTTCTGACTTTAGCTCAGGTCATGACCTTGCAGTTAGTTTGTGGGTTCGAGCCCCACATTGGCCTCTGTGCTGACAGCCCAGAGCCTAGAGCCTGCTTTAGATTCTGTGTCTCCCTCTCTCTCTGCCCCTCCCCTACTCATGCATGCTCACACTTGCTCTTTCTCTCTCAAAAAATGAATAAACATTAAAAACAAAATTTTAAGAGTCTCTTATGGTTTGTTTCACTCTCTTCTTCACCCCCATCCAATATGTTCATCTCTTCCATTTCTTAAATCCCACATATGAGAGAAATCATATGGTATTTGTCTTTTTTCTGATTGACTTATTTTGCTTAGCATAATACACTCTAGCTCCATCCATGTCATTGCAAATCGCAAGGTTTCGTTCCTTTTGATGGCTGAGTAATATTCCTGTGTGTGTGTGTGTGTGTGTGTGTGTGTGTGTGTGTGTAGGCATATTTTATATATATATAAAATATATATATGCCATATCTTCTTTATCCATTATCAGTCAATGGACACTGGTGCTTTCTCCATACTTTGGCTGTTATTGCTAATGCTGCTATAAACATCAGGGTACCATGTACCCCTTCAAATCTGTATTTTTGTATCCTTTGGGTAAATACCTAGTAGTATAATTGCTGGATTGTAGGGTAGTCTGTTTTTAACTTTTTGGGGAACCTCCATCCTATTATCCTGAGTGGCTGCACCAGTTTGCATTCCCACCAGCAGTACAAGAGGGTTCCTTTTCTCTACGTTGTCGCCAACATCTGTTGTTTTGTTGTGTTGTTAATTTTAGCCATTCTGACGGTTGTGAGGTGGTATCTCATCATGGTTTTGATTTGTATTTCCCTGAGATGAGTGATGTTGAGCATCTTTTAGCCAAGTGTTTTATTTTCACAAATTAGTTCTTGGATCTAAAAATGAGCGAGAATACAATGATTTATTTGTAGCTTTATGTTTAGTCCAGTCCTTAGGCTTGGCTCTTGGGTATAAAGGGTCGTTTAGCATTCCTGAAGACATGATTGATAGACATAATAGCATCGTAAAATTAATATAAAAGACAATGAATTTTCTGTTGCAGCATTTTTCTTCATTAAAGTGTCCTTTTTTCCCACTATTGGAGTATACTTAAGCTTAGTACAATTGAAATTTTACTTTTTTCTTTAAAGACTTTTAATATTTTGCTTGCTAGATGGCTTTGAAATGTGCTGATATTTGTAACCCATGTCGGACCTGGGAATTAAGCAAGCAGTGGAGTGAAAAAGTAACAGAGGAATTCTTCCATCAAGGCAAGTTACAGTTTTGAGTGATAAGTAGTCTGTTCAATTCATGTTTTAGCATCATTTGAATAAAAAAACCCAGACATTTACAGGAGTCAAGCAATAGATGCTTGTTGGTATTTTTAGTGACAACTCAGTGTAGATGTACATACAGGCAATAATGTACAAATTGAGCATATTTTGGAAATTACCAGTTCTCTTTTGAAATGATGAAATGTGAATATTTGCATTTATAAATAGACATAAGTCAGGTTAGAAATTTTGCTGTCCAGAAAGATTTCCCTGACCTTGTATCTCATCATCCCTTTTGGAGGGTCCCATGGCCCTGTGAACATGCAAGTTATTTTTAGTAATTTAAAAACAGGAACCAAGGATCTTCATTTCATGTGCCTTCCTTTTAGAAATCTAAGTTTTAAATTAAAATGCTGACAGAATTATAGTCTTGGGGTAACACCTAGTAAAATTTTTCATCTCCTCCATTTAAAATAGGATATCAGCTTGGCAACCTTTTCTCTGTGTGAATAACTTAAAAATTTTAAAAAGAACTAATTTAGAAGCCATCCTCTCTTGAGGATTAAGTATGTCATGCATTTTCTAAGGAATTTACAGGTAAGATGAAGACTTTAACTGTATACTTAAGCAATAGTTATGTTCCACATAAATCATTCTATCTTGTTTTTATAATTTTAGGAGACATAGAAAAGAAGTATCATTTGGGTGTGAGTCCACTTTGTGATCGTCAGACTGAATCTATTGCCAACATCCAGATTGGTAACTATACATACTTCTAGCTGGTTAGAAAAATGCCGCTGATTTTAAGTTTGCCAAGAAGAGATCTACATCTGAAATATAAATTATTAAAATTGTGCTCATTTCTATTTTTTAATTTAAGAAATTTTACCCATTTTTCCTTTTTGGGGCTCTATTTATAATTTACTCTCATTTAATCTTAGGTCAGAAAAACCATAATATTTGCAAAGCAGGTAGCAGTAACTTTGTTTTAAAACTGACAGAATACATGATTTGCCCATGTGGAAGCTTCTTTTGCATAATTCTGGGATTGCATTCTAAAATGAAAAAAGTGACCACTGAGCACAATTATAATGTGAAGTCCATTTTCTGCTGTGGCTTACTTTTCTCTGTCACCGCCTGTAGATTAATTCTTCAACATCCTGTACAGGCCTCTTGTAAGCTTCTCTTGAATAGTCTCTTCAGTTCTTTCCCCGGCAACTTCCCCTCACATACCCGCAGCAACCTGGGACTCTGCAGTGTTCCCCAAATCCATGGCACCCCTTTACTCTTTCCCCCTCGCCACTCCTTCCCATCTGCCTGATGGACTCATTTTTCCTGAAGATCCACCTCCTCCGGATGCCACCTTCTACTCTCTCCAGGCAGAGTCGGTCGCTCCTTTTCCAGGCCTCCAAAGCACTAGATATACGTCTCCCCTAGCTCCCAGGTCCTTCCTGCAGCGATGTATTCCTGAGGCTTTGCACTGCACCTAGAAGCAGGAGGCACTAGAGAACTATTAATTAAGTGAGACATAATTGTAACAGAAAGCACAGGGAAATGTGCTGATTAAAATAGGGGCAGCTTATTGTAAAAGAGCACAGGAGTGGGTGTTGGGGTTTTGAACGTAAAGTAGGAGGCCAGCATGGGGATGGGTAAGTCAGCAAGGTATTGCGGGATGAATGTGATTTTGGTAGCTGGTGTTGAGTAGGGCCTTTGAGGATTAGGTTGAACATAAAGAAATGGGTGCACAAACTTCAGAAAGATAAAGTTTCTAGAAATCCAGAAGACAGCACACGTCTGTGGCATAGTGCTTTGAAAAGAGGCTTGTAGGGGTCAGAAATTCAGAAATCTGATACTTACATAGTAATTGCAAGGCATCGTCATGTGGAAGGCAGTGGGTAGTAACTGACTTGATGGCAGAGGAACAGGTAGGGAAGATGAAGAGCCAGGCCAAGAAGAGTGTGGCACAGACCTGCGGGAATGGCGGGGGCAGGGAAGGGTGGTGCTGGGGCTCAACCAGCCAGAAGCCTGGGGAATTTTGCAGAGGGGAGAGCTTTCTTTGGGGGGGATAAGAAGACACTTAAGAAGCAGATCTGGGGTACCCTGAGTCTCAAGTAGAAAAACCTTCAAATGCAAAAGAACAGGTGAAATATGGGCAAAGGGAATTAAATTGAAGATAGGTGAATGAGTAGCAAAGTCATTGTAGCTACTTTTAAGTTCTTTTGCTGGAGTCAGTGACTCTCTAGATTAATTTAACAGTAGGTTTTTAAAAACTACAATTTCTTTTTTTTTTTTTTTTTAATTTTTTTTCAACGTTTATTTATTTTTGGGACAGAGAGAGACAGAGCATGAACGGGGGAGGGGCAGAGAGAGAGGGAGACACAGAATCGGAAACAGGCTCCAGGCTCTGAGCCATCAGCCCAGAGCCCTACGCGGGGCTCGAACTCACGGACCGCGAGATCGTGACCTGGCTGAAGTCGGACGCTTAACCAACTGCGCCTGGGTGGCGCAGT